AATTTCAGTGTTCGTGTGAATTTTCGTCAACCAAAGCTATAACAGTTACGAAGTCTCGACAGAGGCGCAAATCGTCTTGCCGCTATAAACATGTTTTTGTTATTGAGTCAAAATTGTCCAGTTGTCTATACTGAAGCATTTTTTATATGGAATAATAGCGGTTTCAGCGTTTATTAGGCCGTAGGCCTGTCGCCGATTCTTAACATCGCAGAACATTCACAGCTTGTTGCAGTCTCGAACTCGCAACTCACTGCTCCAATTCTGCTGTGCTTAACCGCCCGGCCTCCTTGCCGATTCTGACCAGAAACTGACGCACAGAGCTGGGATCGAACCCGCACCTCACTGCGCCAATCCTGGTACTCTGAACTGTAACCACTGGGCCACCCTGCCTTCAAGGTGGCCCAGTCACTTCTTCACTTCTCCCCTTCAGTCAACCCTGGCACCCGGTTGCTTATCGAGTAACGGGATGAGGGCTTGATAGGCTTCATCTGAAGCCGTGCACGTGCCTCCTCATATTTCTCAAATATACATTTATTAATAACATAATATTAGACTTTAATCTTGTGATTACATTGTAAGATACTTTACAGGCAAAAAATTTAATTACGTACAACGCAGCTTGAATTAATTCTTCTTCGACTGAAATAGAATTTGAGACAAAAAAAAAAATAATTAACTGGAGCTGCGGGGTATCGATCCCCGTACTTTTCGCATGCTAAGCAAGCGCTCATATCAGGGCGCGCAACCCAACCGACCCCCGACTCCCAGATCTCAACCTGGAAATGTGTACTTGCATATATACAGGCTCATGACAGGAACACCTGGCGAACGCATCTTGAGTCGTGCAACAGACGCACGCACCAGTTCAAGCACTGGAATCTCCTTCGCTCCCTAGCCGGAAAGCGCAACCGCTCTCCCCCCAATCAGTCAGCCAATCAAATTTGTTCTGAATTGTCTTTCCTGCCATGGCAAGAAATCCTCCGCCTTCTGTAAACTTTTTACCTCCATCGCTCTGCACTCTCATAGCCCCTCCACCCGCCGCCTTATACGTCGAATCCTGGCTGAAAATTCCCTCGACAGGGACTTTTATACATTATACCCCTTCACCCTCGACATCAAAGACGCCAACAACCTACCAGCATTTTTTATATCTGTCTCCACGGTTTCTATTAAACCTATATTGAAAAATTCAATAATTATGCTAATCCTTAAGCCTGGTCAACCTGGAAACCAGGGTTCTTCCAACCGCCCCATCTCCCTCCGTTACCCCCAACTGCCTCCTTCTAGGAGATAAGTTATTCACCCGCTAGTGTTGCCTAACTAGATTGCGTTAAAATGTCACCTGAAAAGTTCAAGCGAGCTCAACAAACTTGCAACAACAAACTTGAGGGGCTTAAGTCGTGGTCACAGCCGCCGTAGTAAACATGGGTGCAGGAGATGGTCATCGTAGCGCAGACGACGCCAGAGCCGCATTTCGGAAATTCCTGCCGCATTTGTCAAGGCAGTAGTCTTACTCCTTATAATCCAATGATAAACCGTGGCTGAATAAATTTGCGTTCCCGTGCATTAAAAAAATTGGGAAATTCACAAAAACTGACACAGCCGTGAACATTAACGTCATAGTAGCACGACGGGAGTTACTGTCATGATGGAGTCAGGCAAGGAACCGCCGAAAATTCTTGAAAGGAAGGTGAAGTGAAGTAGCAGGGGTGAGATTAGCTTTGTCATCACATGTTCAGGTTGAAGCTATGTACCTCAGACGTCACCCAGAATTAAGGCACAGAGCAAGTGTTAATTGAGGAAGCTATGACCCGTAATTAATTATATGGTAAACTAAATCATAGTTTTTGTTTCCTCCCGGCAAGGAGTTCCATTTTACTCAGGGTAAAGTGGATGAAATTACTTAGAATATTTGAGAAATGCGTGGTTCGTCTAATCGAAGACGAACATTCGCCAGGCTGATCAGCTTAGACATCACGCGGTTCTTCGTGATCACGAGATTGCAATGGAATTATGGTTGTTGCTCGTCTTTTAACTACCTCTCTATTAATACCTTAACGTATTTTAGCGCCAATTACTCAACCACCAGAATTCAAAGTTACTCCCTGAACGATCCCCGTGGGGAATTGCATCGCTTTCGTATATGGTTCTTTAAGAAGAACCACGTCACGAGACTTCATGAGCTAAGAATTCTGACCGACACTTCTCTATTATATTGTTACGCACCTTGTAAAGCCTTTTATGGGCCGCTCTCAAATCTGGCGAAGTGCAAGAAGGCTCCCTACTCGGATCGCCTTCAGCTGCATGGATGCAAATCAGGAATTATGAGAACAGAGTTTCAAGTCGTAGCCTCTAATTAACTTCTCGGGAGTGATAGTTCGGGAACATCACTTGACAAAGAATCTTCCTTTAATGCAACCGGTCGCCCATTCACGAGATGTGAGGTTAGGCATACGATAAATTTTAACTCGCGGTAGCTCGAGATCATATAACTAATCTAGCCATGAATTAGTCGCTTGGTCATCTTTACGCATGATGCAACCATGAAACATAGCTTGCTACATCCTTTATAAAACTTGTTAGTACGCAAGTTTCTCGATTACATTAGCGGATAAGTAACTTCTTATGGCGGAGTCGTTCAGAAAGTCTATAATTATATTTGAACCAGCGACGAGCTGGGAACCGAAATCAGAAATGCAAGTCTGCGGCAAGCCAAATTCGAAACAGTGCAACTGGAATGAGAAAAAAAATTCAGTAAGTGAAAATCCATACAAAGTTTTAAATTACTCGCTTGGCTCCACGTGCAAAAAATACACAGAATCCTCAACTTAGTTTTAACCCCGCTTATCTTTTGCACAATATTGACCTAATTAGTCCATGAAGACATTACGAAACGGAATAGGAGGTGGATTTACCCTTGATTCACGCTAAGCGCTCAGCTGGTTCATCTCTATAGTTCTTGCATTGAACCTGCAGCAAAGAAGGCAGTCTTTGAGAACACTTTATACGCGAGGAAAAATAGAGGAAAATCCAGAAGCTCTTTCGTAACTCAGCTTGTATTAACTTGCACGTGCGTATCTCTCATGACATTCTCGTACGATTAACTTCGTAAGCTTCCTATCTTGAGAATAAAGCAACGAAAACTTCATGGTTAATATTCTTAATCCTCAGTAGATTATAAGGTCAACGTATACATTTAACACAGTCGTACAAGAATTGAAATGTCTTTCAATTTTTTTATATTTCGTTCCGAAGAAGGTGAAGATCTTACGAAATTGCACTTTTTGGTCAAATTAAAGCATATGTCGTTTAGCTTCCGAGCAAACGATATCTTGCAGTTCTCGTAGTTTAACCGTAGTTTTAATCTAATACGAAGCATCGCAGAAATTTGCGACGATTCCTGACGCGGATTCTGGCTACTAACTTGACATTGCGATCTCGGCGCTGGAGTGTAGGCCTGATGTGGCCTGTCGCAGATTCTTTTCCTTTTCGTGCCTTGTTCACAGAAGACCTAAACTCGTGTCATTTGACCGGATCTTTTCATGACTGACGATAGTTTGAAGTAGCTACTAGACTTTCACAGGTTCGATATGGTGCTAGGCATTTCAAGTCTGAACATATACATATTTTCCATAGAGATATCTAGTCTGTTTTGAATGCGTTCATGCTTGGGGCGCCAATGAGGTAGGTATGTTTTAAATTTCACGCAGATTCGTTCGGAACTTATTACGAGGTGGAGAATGAACACGTTTCAAAATGTTGAAGGGACGCGTAAGTAGTATACTAAATCCATTAATTATGTAAAGTAAAGCTTACACAAACGTCGTGGTAATGATTACTCTATTACAGCATGCACTAATGCTAGCAAGCCAATGACAATAGTTCATAGTGGAGCCCAGCTGCTGACTAATGATCCCTGCGTCCCACGAAAGATTAGTTTCAATTCTTCTAATCTTCAGTCTTACTAGAATTACGGCGACTCAAAACGAACCGCTCTGCCATTGGCCCGCTTAGGCATAAGAGCTTCTAAACTATGTATATAGGCTACCTCAACGGGATAGTGAGAAAGCGTAACAACTGATTACACAGTCGTCAAGTTCTATTTGTAAAAGGGTACAGAGGATGAACAGCTTGTGCATGTTAATGTTAATAATACAAAGGATGAACAGGATGTTAATAAATAATCAGATGGAACAACATAATGAAGAATCCAATAAATATGACTAGCTAAAAGTGAAAACTCTCAAATGGAAGATGAAGACAAGATGGTTCGGCTGGGCGATCCGTTTAGGCTGCCGGCGCTTGCTAGACATGAAGTCTGGTATGGTTGCAGGCCGCACTAAGGTTGAACATTTCTTAGGTAGGCAAATGAGAAGTTTGCGGAGGCGCACGTTACTGATGACAGGCACGCTGGGACTCCAGTGCCTGTCCCCGCAGGGACTCCGGCCACGCAGGCCGCATACCCGTGAATAAACCATAGATATTTGACTTGATGACGTCTAGTGACTGTTATCGAGTTTCCAATAGCAGACGTACTTCAGAATACGCTGTTCAAATTGATCACAGTTTAAATTTACTTCGTCATATCCACAAGGATAATCATCATGTATTCACATTGATATCCCCTCGTATACAGTGTGACTAGTGAACCTAGTCACAATAGTCCTAGTAGGTACTTACTTGAGTACTCCATGTTTTTTTTTTTTTGGTTTCATGTCAATGATCAGGGCCCCGACCTTTACGCCTCTGATGGTGGCCTACACCGACTCCGAGGGTCACTGAGCTGTGACGCGAGCGAGGAGCGGGCCCACGTCGAACTTTTCTCTGACTGCTGTTAGGATGCTAGCTGCATTGCCTCTTTGCACAGCCAAACCCAACCTTTGCTCCAACCATAGAGTCTCTCTACGTTCGCCGGACAATTCCGTAATGCGACGGCCAATCTGTGATATTCTAAGGAAGGCAGCAGTTGGAGGGGGGGGGGAGTCTGTAAGGAAGGCAGCAGTTGGGGACGTTGCGGGCTCCACTGCACAGGAATGTGTCCCCACATCTGCGTCTCGCATGACGATCTGTCTCCGAGCTGTGACCCTCTGAGGTTAAAGGCTGTAACCTGTCCGAGTGTAACGTTTATATGAATAATAATCGTGTTTGCAATGAGAATGTGACATCAAACTTGTATCTAGGATAATAAGTTGACAACACAACAAACTGTTATTTTCAACATTAGAATCAATTATAATGTAGTTTTCCATATACACTTATCAACTGTATACAGGAAAGTAAAATAAGCCATTACTTACTCTAAAATGCACGAGGTTCAATACCGCGAGAATCACTCAATGTGGCAGACATGATGGGTCCTTCCAATCGAAGACATCATCAGGTAAGACGTGAATCAGCGTGAATCAGGGCACCATCCATCCACCTCCTGTGTTGATGGAGAAATGTTTAAATAGACTGTCCGGTGTCTAGGCTATCTAATAGTTAGCTAAACTGCACAACCAGGCCACGACATTTCAGTAACCTAATCAATACTACGAAATTTTTACAAATTCGCACAATTACATGTACCAGTGTAATTACAACTTACAGTAACAATCCAGTTAGAAGAAGCTTAAAGGGGTTCCACCAGAACATCATTACGACTCAGTATCTTGAGATTCTGTACAAAATGTTTTACTGGAACGCAAACAAATAACAACCTCACTAACAGAATGGCCACATCTTGTCAGATATCATCGTAACAATGGGTGTGAAGACTTTCTTAACGACAATCTTCTTTTTGAGTGGAATAATTTGACACGCGTGGTCGTAGAGTTCCTAGCCAACGCTCTCTGGCGAAGTCGAAACGTTTATCAATACTAAACACCTTACGAGAGATATAACATACATATTTACACGCCAAGTGTACAAGCAGAAATCACGTAAAACAGATCAAATTTAGTGGCTAGACTTATCAAATTATTGAGGTACATCTCGGTTGGCGTTACTGATGCAAACATTTACCGTACAATGACGCCTATGCTAACAACAACGCCCTAGTAACTTAGGTGTGCAATAGAATAGGACGAATCTAGAATTGTACATCAAGTGCACATGAGACAACCCTTCACAATGGGGAGAAAAACATTACTATACGCGAATGTACAATAGCATACGTAGTAAAAAATCTTAGGTAAATAGAGAGGCTGTTAATTCATTAGGATTGATTTCATTGCCTTTAAATGCGAAAAAATACTATTAAAACATTTTAAATCAATTACAATAATACTACAGATATTTAAGACATTTTATTACTATGCATTGGAAAAGATAGGATTCGGTGAGCTACCGGTATTAATAAAAAAGTAATTGATGTACAAATCTGAAATAAATCCGTCCACAAATTATTGATAATATCTACTTATTTTTAAAATTTGAATAAAATCCGTTCACTATTGATGGATTTATATCTGGCAGAGTTGAACGTCTATTTAGGTTTTGCATTAGAGTGCGCAGGCCAGTTCGTAGGCGAGTTCGCTGAAGTGTCGATTCGGTGAGCTGGCCTCTTTGCTCGGGCTCACAATCTACCATGCTTCTACTCTAGCAGGTTTTATTGTTATAGTTTATTCAACTGATAGATATTATCTCTGCGGTCTGAAAACCAATGCACATTTTTAGGTATCAATTCGTTCCATTCCCAGTTAATAGAGGTAGTAGGCACACATACAAGGCACTGGGTCCCCGATCCACCGGCACTGACACAAAAGTTTTCCAAGTAAATAGACAAAAAATCGATAAAAACGTTTTATGTTTTCTGGACGTTTCAGAACATTCTCTATCGAATAGTTTGATCGAAAAATGTTCTTTTCTGTGACCCAAATACATGGGTCCGGGGTCCCAGGACCTGACTTGAAAAATTTTCAAGTTAATGTACAAAAATACGTCACGTCTCGGACAAATTTACGCCGGACCCGAGGCCGGTCTCGCGGCCGGACTCCAGATTCAGTGTACCTGAAATATCTACCAAAATACTGAACGTAGCTCGATGAAACTTGGTACACGTACTAATTATGGCCTAACGGTGATGTCAAGCTCGTGACAATTTTTTTAATATCGCCTTCATTCATGAGTTATACGAAGAAACGTGCCGAAATTTGCCGTGCACCGGCCATTTCTTCCAGAGTACTGAACAGATGTGGGTACAAAAATTCGATGCAAGTGTTTCATGTTTTCTGGAAGTTTCAGAACATTCTCTATCGAATAGTTCGATCGAAAACTGCACTTTTCAGTGACCTTTGTGTGTTGGTCGTACGAAAATTTTCTAAGTAAACTTTAAAATATACTATGTAAAACTTCAAGTTTTATCGACGTTTCAAATGACTTGCAGCTGTTCGTATTTTGTCAGACTGGTCCGGGTCCGGCAGTCCTGTCCGGGTCCGGGTTTTAGTCAGCACCAATGTTGGTGTTGCTAGTTGTTGATTCCGGGGAACCTGGAACCATAACCATTCTAAAAATTTTCTATGAAAAAACTTAAGCAAGGGCCATTAAGAAATTGTTGAATTTACTGCAAGCATTGGTGCTTTTTTATTCATTTGCTGGTGGCTTCAGCATGCTTTTTCATAGTTGGTATGGAAAATATCTACTCTCCAAGCTCAGTGATGAATTTTTAGAGCGCAAATTATTGAAATTCTTAATTCTGAATTTCTGAGTTGCCATTCCATTTTTTCAGCATTTGATTTTTCATTGTATTTATTAGGACATCTAAGTTATTAATTTATTTTCCAAGCATCCAAGGTATTGAAAGCCATTCATAAGCCTCTATTTCATTTCACTAGTCCTAGTATGGAATAGGGTAAACGCGGTATATTCCGACATCGTAGGTAATTCCGTCACTTCTCTAGCTTTTCCTTTATATTAAGCTTTGTTTTAGTTCTGTGCAAACCGCGATTTTTTAATCAAACAAAAATTTATGACATTCGAGCCGCGAGATTTCATACCTACTGAAATTATATGATATTAGAGCCGCGATATTTCAGACAAAAATAGGACTTTTCCAGACTAGCACTATTCTACTGTCAAATGTCAATCAGAATTAGAATTTTCCTGCTTTTTAATAAAATCTTTTGGCTTTTTATGAATAAATTTGCAAATATCACAGCCAGACAGTGTCCTAATGTTGACAATTATATAGCAAATAACTGCTTGTCACCAAAAATGTATCAGTATAACACTGGTCAAATTTGTCAAAACTCAAAAGTCGGCAGTAGCTAACATTTGTAGGCTTCAATTGCCTCATAAAATCTGAGCTCATAATTCAGGATTGTAATTTTCTGACTTGTTTCTGAAATCTGGCAGCTCCAAATCCAACTGGACAAATTTTCAATACATTTGGATTTTGGAATCTTGCAGGCTGCGGCCCCATCCTGCACTTTTGTTAGCAATTAGATTGCAGTTAATTCATCTGGCGGAAATTGCACAGTTCCAGAAATGGCAGGAAAGCTGCAAAGCTCTAGTTAGGGCCCTAATGGTAGAAGTTTTTCATGCAAAAGCTCATTTGGGTGCACCAGAAAGATGTGATTTAATTTTGTGTTTAAAATAGACCATTTCAATTGGAGGTCAAATAGACCATTTCAATTAAAGGTCATTGAAATCATTGATTTGATGTGGCCACTGGCCTTCCATAATGGCCTTCCTTCAACTTGAATGATATGGCTTGGTTTGCAGCATTGATGGTAGCTGCATGTGCATATGATGACAAATCTCTGATTTTCATCTAGAAATAGTACCATGAACATATTTCTTCTCATTGGAAAATGGAGGCAATTAAGTGCATGGTTCTATTCTATTGAACTATGCACTTATGCACTTCAAGTTTAACTTTTTTGTTGACAAGCAATGCAGTTATGTACAACAAGCATGGAATAAATCTACTTTTGAAGCTGCCACTGGAGCCTCCTGCTTTATTTTTTGTGCTGTGAGATTCCTGCTAGATAAATTGCAGACCATGCAGCGATGTAGGCATTTTGCAGGATATTTTGGCAGAATCATGATTTGGAACCAGAGAAGTTCAAAATTTCAGGGAATGACACATTGGCAAACTGCAATATTTGTGATCAAGCTAAAGAACACTACTTTTGTGTCTCAAGATTTCTTACATTACATACACAAATGATGGATATTGTAGCCACAATATTTCAGAAGAATGGATGATTTTCCAATTTTGTACTACACCTCAAACTGGGAAAACAGGCAGAAGCCTTCTTATAGTGAGAGAAAAACACTCATGCTTGAGGATAAATTTCATTTCCTTTTGTGGTTGCATAATTTATTTTGTAAAAATTATGAAAAATGCCATAATTTTGTCATCAATGTTTGAAAAAATATATGGTGAAATGACTGTTAACTGCAATTTTTGGAAATGTTGTCCAATATCCCAGATTGAATTGCACCCAAAATATTTTGTTGACAATCTCATACAGTAGTTGGAGTCATAATAATAAATAAGCTAATAATAATAAGCTAATACACAATAGTAATAAAAAAGCTATTATGTAAACACTGAATGGCATCTAAAGGGAAAAAATGTTTATAATTACCATTTCTATAGTAAAATTAGAGATTCAGTGTAATATGTGTGCATGGCTTAGCAAATGAGTTTATAGTTCAAAAATTGCCTTCCATAATTGGTACCGGTAGTTCAAAAATTCGAGAATGACTCATGGTTCAAAACATGATAAATTAGCAGCTCTAAATATGCTCCTGTGCCATGGGAAGTAGATGTTTATCAAATTAGCCATTAGGCAGAGAGATGCTCCACTTGCATTAAAATTTATTATTACAAAATTTGTTATAAAATATAATCAGATCAAATTGTGTAAATTGTGCTAAATTGTGGGCAAATAGGATTATTTCAAAATGTTAACACAACTGCGCAAATGAGCTAGAAGAAAAAAAGACTATGTTTTACTTGTCCAATCCTATATTTGGAGGTTGTAAATTATCTGAAATTTACTTCTTTACTGTTACATATTCAACAATGGCATTTATTTCCATTATTTTGTATGTTTATATCCACATATAGAGACTAATTTTGGAGACTAATGCATTGTACTGTTCATATAGGTTATTTTATTGATCAAATTCTGTGCCAACTTTTTTTTTGACAATTACTGCGCCTCATAGATGAATTTGTGAGCAATAACATTAGAGGTTATCATCATGTAATAAGATTTGAGAACATTATTATTCACTTTTTTTATTGCAAATACTATTCATGCAATTATCCAGTTAAATGTTATTTTTCAGGTTTCTGGTCTAATTGAGGTGAATAACAATATAGATGGAATAGCCCCCTGTGTAGTGAAGCTAAAGATCTTTTAAAATGAATGTTCCTGCATTAGAATCTCCTAGTGTTGGAGAACAGGAAGCTGTTCCTGGCAGGAGGCAGGAACAGGCTTCACATCCAGAACAGCAGAACCTTGCTCATCACAGTTCTGCTGCTGTTCAGGAAGGAAATGTTACTCCTGTGGGCGAGAACAATGAACAAGTTACGCCAGTTGTTCCCAAGAACACAGGACGAGATCTTCGTGCAGTTGTTGTCAACCGTGAAGTGGAAGAAAAGTTCCCGATAATGGAGGAACACAAGCATTTTGCGACAATACGGTACCAGTTTTCTGGTGTGGTGTTCAAGAACAGTTTTTATCATTGCAAGTTATGTGGCTTCACTACAAAATATGACAAGAAAATCCGTATACATTTCCGACAAGAGCATCCCAAGTATAAAGTGTACAATTGTCTGAAGTGTACATTCAATACATGCTTCAACAAGTCCATATGTAGACACGCAACATCGCAACACACAGGGAAGAAGAATGACAAGAGATGGCTGATGGACCAGATGGAGATCTTGGAAGACCCGCAAGATTGTGATGAATTGCTTGCTATTGACGACGACATAGAGGGCGCTGATTCATCCATGCAAGAGGATGTAACAATGAATAAACTTGGGCATAACAATAGTGCATTTGGTGGTGCTGATGGTGGTGTGTTGCGGCAAGGATATAATGCATCAGAAGCAGGACATAGTTCATCAGGGGAAAGATATGGTGCATCGGAAGCAAGATATGGTGCATCGGATGGAGCACACAGTTCATTGATGGAAGGATATGGTGCCTTCAGGAGAGAACCTGGTGCATTGGATGGAGAAAGCGGTGCAGCACTGAGAAGAATCATCAGCCAAGGACCAAGTGTTTCTCCGCTGAATTCTACATTAAGTTTTTTCAACGCCGGCGTGCAGAGTGAGATGGCTCTGCGTCGCCACGGCTCGCAGCCACAGGGGAAGGAGAAACCGAAGCGACTGAATAAACGCATTGTTATGGCCATGCTTAGAGGTATGTTGATGTGAATATTATGTTCATACAAGGCTAGGTGTGTTGATGTGAATACTTCATCCATACAAGGCTAGGTGTGTTGATGTGAATACTTCATCCATACAAGGCTGGTGTGTTGATGTGAATACTTCATACATACAAGGCAAGGTATGTTGCCCCACCTAGCCAGGCATGTTGACCACCTAGCCAGGCATGTTGTCGTGCGTATAGTGGCAGGTTCTGGTGCCAGGTGATGAAACCAACAATCATTAAAATAATTTATTGCACATCAGTCATCATTACAGACTTTCTGTATAAACTGGGATACGTAGGACATGTTCACATGGCACACAGGTAATACGTTCTTACTGCTCGTTCCTAATACGCAATCTCTATTCTCGATTCTAACTTTCTCTAAAATATTCTTACAATACTAAGCTAATAAATTACAAATTTACAATACCTATATATTTGATAGAAGCCTTATATTCAAACAGTAAAATACAATTTGCAACAAGCCCTCTACAATGTTGACCCACTTTATAGTCACCGCTGTGCTCTCATTTCTTCCATTTCTGTGCAGAGGTGCGCGCTTCGTGTCGCCCCGACGCCGCGCCAGGAATCGTGGGCGTCGGAATGGGCGGCACAAAGGATCGCGTGGACGGCAATATGGACGGAGGAACAAATAACATGGGTGGTGAAAAAGACGCAACGGGTGCCAAGGACGACGGGAGTGGCAAGATGGCCGACGCGGGCGACAAAATGGCCGACGCGGGCGACAAGATGGCCGACGCGAGCGACAAGATGGCCGACGCGGGCGGCAAGATGGACGAGGTAGACGACAAGTCTACAGTCATGGACGCCTCAGAGATGCTGTGCGTGGTCATGGACGAGGGCGACTCTGCCGTCCACGTCAAGAAGGAGCTGGACGACACGTCTTCATCGTCCCCTTGTGCTGGGGTCGCCGCCGAGGGGCGTGAGGGGGGAGAGTCCCCTCACGGACCCCCAAATCCCTACACGATCCCGGGATATTCCAATCAAAACGAACCCCGCAATCCCCCTGACGCCCCACAGGAGGGGTGCTCGGATGCCCCCATGGTTGGAGAAGCGTTTGAACATTTCCTAGGGGAAGATGAGGATGAAGATACCCCAGACAATGGGGACAGGGAGTTAAAATGTGCGTTTTGCAGCTTCAAGTGCGACAGAATCACCCGTCTCAAGTCACACTACGGCTCAGAACATCCCGATAAAGGTTTGCACTGTTGCCCAGAGTGCAGATATGTTGCTCTACATTCCTTTAACCTCAAGCGCCACATTATCAGCAAACATTCTAGCATGAAGCCGTACAAGTGTCCTGAATGTTCGTTCTCCGCCTACACCGCCGCCAAGCTCATGGAACATGACAAGAGTGTTCATGAAGGAAGAAACCCGCCACATTGTACCATCTGCAACTATGTTGCTAGCTCCCAGCGTGACCTGAACATGCACACTAAGCGTGAACATGCACAGCAGGTTGAGTATGAGTGCACTCAGTGTGAGTTCTCTACCATGCAGAGGTGGAGGTACTTGAGGCACATGCGTACTCACCGATCTAAAGTACAGTACCAATGTCGCCAGTGTCCGTACTCAGCGTTCGCTCCTATGCCCTTCAGAAGTCATTTAATCACGCAACATTCAGTGGAGGATTTACCAGAGTCCCTCAAGGAATATTTGGTACCAGCTCCCTTCAAAACCATCGCTGACAAAGATCTCCTGCGTAAAGTCCTCGCAAAAAAACACAGGATCTACAAGTGCAAAGAATGTGGGTTCACTGCTCGCCGCAAAGACGCGCTAGCACAACACATTGCCCGTAAACACAGAGAAAAACAACACAAATGTACACAATGTGGTTTCATGGCAGCTACTCAATACGATTTAAAGATACATAAGGTGCACAAACATTCGTCGGTCGCCGCCTTCAAGTGCCAACATTGCGATTTTTCGACGAATCAAAAGCAGGCTTTGGAGAACCACAGCGCCAGGAAACATTTAGCTGTAAAGCCTTTCCAGTGCTCGAAATGTGAGCTCGCTTTCGGAGTTCAAGTTGATTTGGTGAAACATTTCCAACGTAAACACGTGGCTGAGTTGCAGTTGAAGTGCTCTGAATGCGAGTTCACGACGCACGACAGCGTGTCGCTCAACAGGCATTACAAGAACATGCACATCAAGAAGAAACCTTTCAAGTGCGAACTCTGCGACTACGCGGGTGCCTTGAAAAAAGATCTTCAGGTGCATATTAAGAGGAACCATGACGAATCTAAGCGCATCTTCTGTCAGTACTGCGAATATTCGACGTGTAACAAACAGGTTATGCACAGTCACTGCCGACGAAGACATGACAGAGAGAAGTCGTTTAGATGCGACGTGTGTAGTTATACGGGCGCTACTAAAGACGATGTAGCACGTCACGTTACTAGGAACCACGCCGGGGAGAAACCCACGTTCGAGTGCCCCAAATGTGACTTTGTGTCGCGTTGCGAGAAGTATTTCAATGTGCATTTCTTCGAGAAACATTCCAGGGATAAACCTTTTATCTGCAGCGCATGTAACTTTAGTTCTTCGCTGGGGGAGGAGCTTAAGAAACATGTTGAGGAAGTGCACCCGGGGGCTGGGGTTCAACCGGGCAACCCCGGTTCATCAATGGTACACCCCGGGTCTAGGGTGCTGCCTAGTTCAAGGGTTCAACAGATTTCAAGTGTTCAACCGGGTTCTCTGGTTCAACCAAGTTCATCGGTTCAACCCGGGCCTAGTGGACACCCGTCTTTACCCGCGCCCCCCGGTTCGGTTTTGCTCCCCCCAACCGGACCCCCCGGACCCCTGTCCCCTCCCCCCGTGTATGTATCGACGCAACTGGGTGAAGGTGAAAATTATATACTGTGTTGTGTGCTGTATATTCTCCACACACGACCGTATTTCTTATGCTATTTAGATGTATTTTATGTGTGTTTGTGTGAATGTTTATACAGGAATTTCAGTGGACCCGATGGTATTCTTAACTCAAATAACTTATTGGCTCATTGTCCTGATCGTGATGCACTTTTTCGTGAGTCATCCTGACTCAGTTTAGCCCAGCATAAGGACGTATCAGTGCTACGTCTGCTCTCTGCAGTGGGTCAATAAAGTGTGTTATTATTGGGACAATTTGATCCATTCTTTTGTCGCAGTGCTGCATGTCGGAGATTTTAATGGAATAAATATGAGCTAAAGTTAATTAATAGAAATAATTAAGTTAATTAGAATAATAATAAGCTAGACGTTACGGTCGCATCCTGCGTTAATTTGTTCTGTATGGATAAATAGTTTGTCTCTGCCACGTCTTGTTTGTAACCTGGGGAGGGGGTGCTGGGGGAATGGCTGGGGCTTGTCCTGGGGAAGTAGAGGGGGTTTTTCCTGATGGTGGATGCTGGGGGAGTAGCGGGGGTTGTCTGGGAGAGTTGCCCAAGTCTGCTGCTCGACGGCGCCCCCGCAAATGCGGCGGCTCCGGGGGAGCAAAGGAGGAGGGAGCGGAGGTTCCGGGATGTCGGCGAAGGATGGGAACGAGGAAAGCCGCAGTCGCTCTAGTGGAGTCAGAGGGGTGAGAGTGTCGTATAGTTGCTAGTGTTCAGACTTCAGTGGCTTTGGTCCACTGGACCAGAGGTCCAGGGGAGTCAGCAAGGTGGGGTGCGATGGGCAGCTGAAGAGGTGGAGCTCAGTTAGTTATCCATTCTCACCGCACTCAATTTGAACTCCGGTACAAGTTAAGTCGCGGTAACTAGCCAGAGCGGACCTGGGAAAGGGCGTTTCTAGCCGCCATGGGGAGGGATACCGTAGTTTGCTGGAAGAGATAGATGGGCAGGGATCAGCAGCACCTTGCTAGGAACGGCTGAGGACAGGTAGGAGGGGACAGCTGAGCTGTGCAGGATGCTGCGGGAAACGGGGTAGGAGTCAAGGGGTATGGACCCCTCCTCCAGCAGGTGAGAGACCGAAGGGAGGAAGCGGGTCTGGAGCGTGTGCTTCGTGAGACGGGGCCCTGATGTCTGGGGAGAAGGTAGCTGGGATGGTGCGGACGCAGGGCGCTGAAAAGGAACTGTGAGCAGAGCAGAGAGAGGTGTTAGAATAGAAGTGTCGGCACTGAAGAAATAGGCCCATGGCCTGTTGCCGATTCTTGTATTTTTCGTGACTTGATTCACAAGGGATCAGGCCTTTGGAACCCGATCTTTCCATAACTGACGATTGATTGAGATAGCTGCTGGACTTATTGCCTTAAATAATAATATAATAGCGGTTTCAGTGTTTAGTATGCCGTAGGCCTGTCGCCGATTCTTAACATCACAGAACATTCACAGCATTTTGCGGTCTCGAACTCGCAACTCACTGCTACAATTCTGCTGTGCTTAACCGCCCGGCCTCCTCGCCGATTCTGACCAGAAACTGGCGCACAGAGTGGGACTTAATGAGGGCCTTGAAAGTCACCAAGCGTGGGTGATGACTGATGAGGGACTTAATGAGGGCCTTGAAAGTCACAAAGCGTGGGTGATGAGGGACTTAATGATGGCCTTGAAAGTCCCCAAGCGTGGGTGATGAGGGACTTAATGAGGGCCTTGAAAGTCACCAAGCGAGTGAGCTGGGGTTTGTTCTGGGGGAGCACCGGGGGTTTGCCTTGGCCCTTGGGGGTGTAAAGGGGTTTACCCTGGGGGACTCTCCCCCCCCCATGTGGGGTTAACAGCGCTTGGGGTAAATAAAAGGCTCAAGTTAACGACTTTTTACTGAAGTTTTGTACTGTTTTTTATCACGTTTTCGGGCTGAAGAAAAGCGACTTCGAACGATCGTTTATAATTAAATCTAAATTAATTAATTTATATACCATTACTAACTTATAACTATTTACTGATGACGATTAAACTATTTAAATAGAATTATTAATTACATTTTTATGTTATTTTATCGAGGATAGCTATACTTAATGTCTATTATAGATCAGACGTGATAGAGATACACATAGTTTATAGATCGTTAAAACGTGATTTGAATACATAATAAAATTGTTCACGCATCACAATAGATTAAAATGGCTACAGAAACATCCTGAATAAACTATTAACTCAGTTTTGATTCATTTTCGCGGTTATTTTAATACACTAATAATCTATTCTCGTACCGGAAGCGTTTCAATTCAATGGACAAAACTCCAATAGATTAAAATCATTCATTGTAAAAACCAATATAATGATGATCTAGGATAGTCTATACATAGTCTCTTGGGTGCTTAGGCTAGTGAACGCATAGCCTATTAATTGGTTTAGACTATTTAGGTACAGCATAGATGATGAGACCTTGGCTTTGGTTAGAGGAGGCTAATAGGCTATGTGTAGGCTATACAGTCTATGTATAGGCTATACAGGCTATGTATAGGCTATACAGGCGATGTATAGGCTATACAGGCGATGTATAGGCTATACAGGTTATGTATAGGCTATACAGGCTATGTATAGGCTATACAGGCTATGTATAGGCTATACAGGCTATGTATAGGCTATACAGGCTATGTATAGGCTATACAGTCTATGTATAGGCTATACAGGCTATGTATAAGCAGATGATACGAAGTGTCGTATCCTAGATACGTTTGAATGCATAGACTAATGCGTGGCTATAATACGTATGCATAGTTTAATATAATACAAAATAGACACAATTTCACGGTACATAACTCACAGTACAGTCGAAAATAGATTAATAATCTATACGATACTTGCAATATATAACTAAAATAAATTCGTTTATTTATTTACAGGAAAATTCGAATTCCGTATATAAACTATAGACAAAATATTTTAAATTAAAATAAGATAATTTTTGCCATATGCATAGACTATACATAGATGCTCTCTAGATGAACGTGTTGTACTATGTACTATAGATTGTTTGATTAGGTTTCTAGAGTTATAGAAAATAGGAGAAATGAATAGTGTTTCTAGTGAAGTCATGGCTAGATGAACGTATCCTAGATAAAGACCCGCTAGAACGCACCAAATGCTAGACATTATTACTAGATACAGTAGACGAGACGAATATCTAGGGAAAATTATCTAGGTGAATGAAGCGTGATAGGTTTATCTAGAACGGAGCAATCAAACTAGGCATACTATATACCACAGCTCATAGCACTAGACATTCTCTAGTGCAAGAAGTAGTATCGAGACCATCTAGAAATTCAAGCTCACTTGCACTAGGCGAGGGATAGGTACTAGTACTAGATCTAGAATGTGTGCCCTAGAGGCTACGCTAGAAGTGACGGCTGGATAAGATGGCTTGTTGCTAGATGTGTTTTTCTAGATGACGATCTGTACAGACATGAACACCTACCTAGTAAACTTCTAGTTTGGAACTACCACCTAGAGAAATTATCGTCTAGATAAGCGGCTTAAAGACCGTGTGTGCGTACAGGCATTAAATCAAAGCAAAAAACGTACACATAGAGATACGTACACAAAAAACGTACGTGTACACACACAAAAAAACGTACACGGAAGGCAGTCGGGCAGTGACTGTTTAAAAGGGGGGGGGGGTTAACCCCCTCCATCATCACATAATGACCCCCCTGAATAGTATTCATTACTTGAAGAGGGTATTTTCAACCCCCTTACATTTTCAACCCTCACATTTTCTTTCAACCCTCACATTTTCAACCCTCACATTTTCCACCCTCACATTTCAACCCTCACATTTTCAACCCATCCACATTTTCAACCCGCACATTTCTAACCCTCACATTTTCAACCCCTTTACATTTACTCCCATTGCCGTATTTAATTTCTTCATTGCCGAGTCTTAAAATAGATAATATACATAAAATAATAAAAATACATTTTCGTCTATTGCGAGAATTGATTCTTGTCTACATTTATATAGAAAAAATTCTCCCTATTACTCCAACATAGCATAAAATAACATGGCTACTCTACTACTCAATGCACGAATTATTCAAATAAAGTGCGTCAATATTCGGACAACATGATGCCTTAGTTTTATGAGTGTGCGAATTGACTTGGATGAGCGATGTACCGCGTGACCTCTCCAGCCAGTGTGGCTTTGGCCACTGTCGAGGGATGGTGTGTGACGCTCCGCGTTATTTATAAAAAAACTTAAAGTTTGTTCTTGGCCTCATATGTTCAGAGTAGTTAAAGATAAGAGTAACTTTGATTGAAAAGAGTGTTTATGAGACCGACTATGTATACTGCATTCATGCTAAATACATATGAATGATTTAAGTCTAGCATATGGCTGAATGCTTCAAGAAGAAACTGGCTGAATAGCTTAGGTCTTAGGCTGAATTAAGTCTTAAATAGCCAAACAGGCTGGCTGCGGCTGGCTAGCTGCTTGGCTAAGCAGGCTGGCTGTACGGCTGGCAAGCTGGCTGCATAGCTTAGCAGGCTGCCTGTACGGATGGTTGCTTGGCTTAGCAGGCTGGCTGTACGGCTGGCAGGGTGAGGTTGGTGTACGACAACAATCCTGCAACGAAGAAACAAAATCAAAAACAACTTCGTGGCAAATAAACATAATAATATATTAATTACAGAGTGGTCCAGTGGTTACAGTTCAGAGCACCAGGATTGGTTCACAGTCTCGGGCATGATCCCATCTACCTGCTAAAGTTCTGGTCAAATTTGCGAAGAAACCGAGATATTTTGCACAGCAGAATTGGGGTAGTGAGTTGCGTGTTCGAGACCGCAACAAGCTGTGAATATTCTGCAATGTTAAGAATCGGCGATAGGCCTACGGCCTACTAAACGCTGAAACCGCAGTTATTTTATATTAATATACGATTATCTTTAATTAGGCATAAGTTTTTAATTTGTCCCAACTTGTGATGGTGAGGCTCACCAGTGACGGTGGTGAGGTCCTGCAGGGTGGTGAGGCTCACCTGTGGTGGCGGTGAGGCCCTGCAGGGTGGTGAGGCCCTGTAGGAGGCCATCACTCTCAGCTCGCAGCGTCACCAACAGGACACCACACAACACTCGTGCCGTCACCATCACCTGCACGGCAGGAGTGATGAACGGGGTGATGTTAAGAGTGGTGAGGTTGACAATGATGAAGGTGGTGTATAATGAATAAGAATTCATCATAAATCCATCACCTACTGAACACAAACACATTATTTTGCTCATGATATATCGAGTATATGCACTCAATGTTTGTCATGGGTCAATAAAATTTATTTTGATCTTACAGTTACAAATATAACAGTATATAATACTGTTATAATAATATAATATTACTGTATATATAATAAATATATACTGTGTTAATAATACAACTATGTAACCATGTAAATATCTTACAATATTTATATGGTTACAGTTACAAATATTGCACAATATCTACACTGTTGACCACCACTCACCTGGTTGCCGTTGTACAGCCCCGACCACTGCTGACTGTCAGACTGTCGGGGTGGACGACACAAGGTTACAGTCATGCCCTGTTCTCACTCAGAAACATTAATGTGTAATATTGACCACATACTGACGCACTTTATCCACGTTTTATGCACTTTATCCACTGATACGCCCTTTTGTTTGATACGCCCGTAGCACTGATACGCCCGTTTGCACGTTTTACATTGTATAGTTGTTTTTATATATATATATGGGCATTTCATACATTCATTTTTATGGGTAAATGCATCATGCATGATTGTATATTTAACGCTTGTGATTGTGTCAAATGAATTCAAGCGACCAGGATTAACAGCTTATACAAAAAATATAATAAATATAATTTAAATATAAATAATAATATATTAAAAGGCAAAAATACTACGACTAATAGTGAAAACTTGGTCACCGACGGTAGCTCTCCTTAATAAACCTTTAGGCACGAATAACATTAACTTCAGTTTTTTCTCCATAGAAAAAGGTTTACCCTTTTGTCTACCGACGGAACTTCTCATTAATAGGATTTTAGGTACGAATAGCACAAACAACGGTTAAATTTTCAATAGACAAAGGATTAAAATAAAAAAATGATTTAAATACAACATTAAAATATAAAGGAATAAAATATAAATGTATTGCCATACCTTGCCGGCTTCAGTGACAGGGCTGAAGCCAAGGGCAGTGAGCTTCTCCCCGAAGTCGTCTTTTCCGACATACTTGCGGGTGACCACAACCTTCTTCTTCTTCTGCGGGTTGGTGCAGGTGGGGGTAGGGCAGGCAGTCACCCCGCCGTCGTTGCCGGGGATGGTTGTGTCACTTTTGCTCGTGTTAGTTTGTTGCTTGTTGCCTTTCTTGTTTTTCTTACCTTTCGATTTCTTGGATTGTTCTGAAGTTGGTTCCTTGGTCGCTGTTTCGAGTTCATCTTTGTTTGCGTTGCTATCGACACGTGGAAGGTTTTGGTCTATACTATCACTAATGTTAACACTATCGTCTTTGGTATCGGCATTTCCACTAGAACCTTCGTCTTTTAGATCACTGCTTCTACGATCGTCAGTGTCTTCATCGTCAAATTCGCCACTATCCTCGTCAAAAGAATGTATGGCTAGAGCATCGTCTCTACTGATAAGGTAGAACTGGTCTTCTGTGTCAGAACCACAATGTGACCAGCCATCTACACTGATCACTTCCCAGTTGGTGTCGTCCAGTTCTAGTTCGCTCAGAACTTCAGGGTCAATGCCACCGAGCAACGTGCCTATCGAATTTATTTTACTCGATGCCACTTCTTGCTGGTCGGCAGATATTGAAGTGCGTGCAGTACGCATTACTATGGGGTCCTGTGGGACCAGAGGTGTATCGTGGGGGATCAGAAAGGTTTCTTGTGGGCTCAGAGGGGTTTCCTGTGGGATCAAAGGAGTTTTCTGCGGGCTCAAAGGGTTTTCCTGTGGGTTCAAAGGGGTTGCCTGCGGGTTCAAAGAGGTTTCTTTAGGGATAATACTGGTTCCTTTTGGAATCGTTAGGGTTTCTTGTTTCGTCTGAGATTGAGATTTTGGACCCAGCTGAGTTTCTGAGAGTACCATCTGGGCTTCGGTTGGCATCAGCTGGGTATCTTGAGGGGGCGTCTGGGATGCAGATTGAGGTTTTGGTATCAGCTGAGTTGGGTTAGGTGTCATCTGGGTTGGCGATGGAGGTTTTCCACTAGCATCCACCGACTTCCATCTCTCGTCGGGGGAGTTTTCTCGAATGGCATCTTTGATGGCAAAGTCCATCTGCTCGCGCAAACTTTGCACGTCATTTTCCTCTGCGATTTGATCAAGTTTGCCGCCAAGTTCACAAATATTTTCCTTATTGTTCTTGTTGCTGACGACATCAGCGTAATGAAGCATACGAGTCACCTGAGGACTGGACAGTTTACCGCTTTTCTTCCCACCGAAAAGGGCGTGGAACTCATTTATATTAGCCTTCGATCTCTTGCTCCTTAGCTGCTGCTGGGACTTGATTAGGCCTTTAGGCTTGACACTCGAGTCCTTAAGGGCATCGGCTATCTGTCTTTTCATCTCATTGGGATCGAAGTAGGACTCCAAGGCTTTAGGTTCCTCAGGGATGATCAAGGACACACCGCTTATGGCTACCGTATCAGCAGGATTGTTAGAGTTGTTGTTGTCGTTGGCGTTGTTGTTGTTGTTGTTCTTGGAGCGGCAGCGTTTGGGCATCGTGAGTTGGGGGCAACCTGCAAGAAATCAAACTGATAAATATCTGTTATAATGATAAATATAATAAATATAATGATAAATAAATATACCATTTATAAGATGAATTAATATAGTGAAAGCGGAAGAATCTGTTTCTTTAGGTCAACTTTCCAAGATTTGATGACATATAGAGATAAAAAATTATAGGAAATCGTGAATGTTATTCCACGACACGAATTTGTTATAGCAGTACACCAGCAGTGCCAGCACACCGCGCGTCTGGCAGGTGTTGCGGAAGCTCAAGAATATCCTTGACCGACACGCGGGGAGGAGGGGGTGGGGTGTACACCCTAACGACCTCACTTGAACTCTTGTCCTGAAAGCAACACTACAACAGCAACAACAACAGCAGCAGCAACAGCAACATCAACAACAGCAGCAACAGCAACATCGTCTTAACCCATAATCAGGAGACGCCGTTAATCAGCAATTAACCACTTACACCAGCAGCTAATTAGTAGTATCTGGTAACAAGACAAGGGCCTTTTTACATATTTCACTTCACTTCGTAAAGATATAATATAATAACAGTTATACACAAAAAGTTACCAGTTAACAGTTATGATAACAAAAAGTTATCATTGTTTTCGTGTCATCGCGCACACTAGACAAGTGATAACAGCGTTGCAACAGCAAGAGCTTATCAGTTGCAGATAAGACGCGGTCAGACACCTCTTACCTCTTGCTTAACGCATCTTATCTTAGCGTATACGGGCCTATACGGGGTTTGTTTATACGGGTCTATACGGGGATTGTTTACACGGGCCTATACGGGGTTTGTTTACACGGGCCTATACGGGGTTTGTTTACACGGGCCTATACGGGGTTTGTTTACACGTGCCTATACGGGGTTTATTTACACGGGCCTGTACGGGGTTTGTTTACATGGGCCTATACGGGGTTTGTTTACACGGGCCTATACGGGGTTTGTTTACACGCGCCTATACGGGGTTTGTTTACACGCGCCTATACTGGGTTTGTTTATACGGGCCTATACGGGGTTTGTTTACACGGGCCTATACGGGGGTTTGTTTACACGCTCCTATACGGGGTTTGTTTACACGGGCCTATACGGTGTTTGTTTATACGGGCCTATACGTTTTTTTTCACGGGTCTATACGGGTTTTGTTTACACGGGCCTATACGGGGTTTGTTTACACGGGGCTATACGGGGTGTGTTTACACGGGCCTATACGGGGTGTGTTTACACGGGCCTATACGGGGTTTGTTTACACGGGGCTATACGGGGTTTGTTTACACGGGCCTAAACGGAGTTTGTTTACACGGGCCTATGCGGGGTTTGTTTACACGGGCCTAAACGGAGTTTGTTTACACGGGGCTATACGAGGTTTGTTTACACGGGCCTATACGAGGTTTGTTTACACAGGCCTATACGGGGTTTGTTTACACGGGCCTATACAGGGTTTGTTTACACGTACGCACCAAAACATTACCTCAATAGTGAGAGGTCATCAACTTACGCACCAAAACATTACGAGAGCGCGGGAAGTTTACTTTTAACCAAAGTTCCAAACAGGAAACGTCCCTTTAAGTAGCTTAAAGACAAACACTAAGAGTAATATTCTTTTAAATGAAATGTTTTGAATATCAGAGGTTATTTTAACAAAACTGAGGTCTCTAGGAGGCTGAATGTAAAGGGTAATGCGCAGTGAGAGATATGCAGTTGCTCTCTCTTTGTTGTGTCGTAAATATAGGTCTGGGATAGGAGGGGCATAGCGTCAGCTGATCACTTGACGCTAGTGAATATTTAAACATTTTGTGGTTCCAAGTCATGCAAATAACGTAGTTCACAATTTTAGTATACTAAAAAATCATTTCATGTAATATTATTACCTGATATTATCACCAAACGTGTGATATTGAAGTGGGGTTGGCGTTAGTTTGTAGAGCTAGTGAACGTACAACCACACGTAACTCTGTCGTCAGTAACACTGAGCTAAGAATTGCGTACTGTTGTGGGGCAGACAGCTGGGCGCCGTAGTATGTGCGAGATTTAACACCTGCAACTCGCAAGTCCAAAAATGAGTCATTCTTTTTTATTAACAATATGATTGATAAACCAATTTGATAAGCATAATGATGGAGTATTATGCACTCGAGAATAATTTGGAACAATAATAGTTTTTGTTGATTGATAACACAAAATAAAAATGTTTGAGATGACTGTTTCATGCTTTTAAAATTAGACAATAGATGTCGCTTTGAACATTTTAAAAACATCCTCTCTCATGAATAAACATGCGCAGATGTTCAGCTAAAGAGTACAGTATGATATACGTGTTATTACACGCACACATATCAGTTTAGTATGAAAGAACAACTTTGTCTAGCAGACTAACAAAAAAATCGTTCGCAAAATTCAAAGGTTATGTCAGTGTGAGCTTCCGTCACGCGAGTTGTCAGTCGTGACCTTGAGTATTCAATGGGCAAGATTATACGGAACTGCGTGATCTCGTACACTCGTTATATTGATCTTCTGTTAGTACAAATAGCAACATTTTATATAATCATCTCAATTTCAGGTCAAATTTGAAAATTATTTCGCAATAATCACTAATAATTGGGATACTATAAGAATAAATGTGAGTTTAGGCATATGTAATTTTAAATTTAATATAAAGGAAGTGTGTTAGTCTCGTTCATAGTACCTTTTTGCTAAATCTAGTACATTTGGTAATGGGAAAAAGTCCGTTGTATTTACAGCGTTAGCGTCATTCTGCGAATACTTCTAAAAGGCCTGCCAAAAGCTAACATGAGAATAAATGCAGGCAGTATGACCTTGATGCGGTCCTGCTTGAGAAGTCGTTACAGGATGATGCAATCAGGAATAAAAAAAATTAATATTGATATGAAACTTTTCGAGAAATATATCAATAAAAGAAATATTCAATTTATGCGGTTACGAATTTAATATATCTATGAAAAATTTCGAGATATATATTAATTAAGTAAAATATTCAATTTATGTGGTAATGAATTTATTATTGAAAAGAAACTTTTAATGAAAAAAATGACCAGCTACGTATATAAAAGGAAACTGTTTCCACTGATTTTAAAATCTTGTCATTAAATCTCGAAATCAACTCGTTCAACTTGAACTAATATCTTATATATATTCCACAAATCAATTCTACAATTCTATACAGCGAAAATTGATGACCGAAGTTAAAACGCGATCCAAAGAGAATATGGCATCAATTTAAATCAAGATTAAGCAAATTAGCGAAAGATACCTAAACTGTGAGTAATCATCGCTCAACTTAAATTAAATAAATTCCTCAAATCAATTATATAGAGTGAAAATTGATAACTGAAGTTACAACGTGATCCAAAAAGAATAAGGCATCATTTTAGATCAAGATTCATTAAATCAGTGAATGAAATTTAAACTTTGAGTACTCAGAAGTATCAGAAAAAATGTCATAAATACACAGAAATCTCATACTGTGTTGTCGACATTTTACGAAGTCGAGAAAATTTCCTCGGAACTACGTAATAAGACGGTGTGATTAGAGTGATATTTGCTTGCCAAGTCGGTGCGCATTTATGCGTAACTTGTACGCCATGGGAACTTGCTGTGAGTTCGAGTAAAAAATTAGTTAAACGCACTGTTTTGATCACCAATAATAAGGTTATATCAGTCGATACCCAAGAGTTTCTCGCATTTAATATAGATAACCATATTATAGAGCAATACGTAGGAAACTACGCAACAATAATAGATTAAATTTCTTTCCGACTAAATAACTTTAACAGGGTTTATCTCTACTTTTTACAACACTTCTCTTTAACTTCACTTCTTGTTTGTCTGTCTGTCTGCTACAAATCTTGTAATCTAAATTTAATACACTTCTACTTATCCTATCGATCTGAAATTTTGTACACTTGTGTAAAGTTGGAGAAAATGCATGAATCAAATGTCAAAATAAAAGATTTTAAAAATTAAATAAAAAAATTTTTTTTCAATATTAAAAAAATTGAAAAAATAATTTTGTCAGCTCCAAATCTTATAACTGATATCTGACACACTTTTACCTGTCTGATTGATCTGAAATTTTGCACACTTGTGTGTGAATCAATTAATAGAATAAATAATTTTAAAAAAAATTATATATATTAAAAATTTATATATTAAAAAAATTGAAAAACTAATTTTTTAATTTGAAAATTAAATGAGAAATTCATTGTACATTTGTAAGATTGGAGACACTGGATTCTTTGGAAGTGTTGTCTTTAAAAATTAATTTTTAAACGTATATTATTTCTATCCTTACCTCGAGCTGTCATGCCGCCCCAAATTGTACTGTATTACCTTCACTCACCTATGGCTGATTTAATATTAATATATTAATTCAGTCATGCGCTCACCGACCTTACTTTCCACTATTGCTTCACAAAAAAATTTAAATAAATTTGTCGCCTCGCAGTTAGCTCATGTCACCACTGCTTAAATTCTGACAAAGGTAATAGAGGTCGTTTATATAAATGATATATTTTTGAAAACTCAATTGTAAAGTTTTATTCACATTTTAATTATTAATAACTTTATTGTAAAGTTTATTACTTAGCCTGCAATAAAATTAATTTAAATTTGTTAATGCCATGTATTATGCACATCGTGAATTAGAATGAATCAGATTTCGAATATGCCTCATCGAATTACCGCTTTGCTCATCTGTGTCCCGCTCATTACTGCAAGCAATTGACATTCTAAATTGTGCTCAACGTCGAAGTTGTAAACAAAACTTCCACTTCCCAATGCAGCCTGATAGACGTCAGAGCTCAGGGGGGTGACTACGCGGTGTCCGCCACAAGTTTGAAACTGGACCAAAAATCCCATATCCTGTGCCAGTGTGCTGTGAATGTTGTGTCTTGATTAAACAAGTGACTTGTGTCAGGTTATTTATGGTGCTTTTAACAGTCATCATTTTATCCATTATGCGAAATTCAAGATCGCCGTCTGCCGTCTGGCTGAATTCAAAAGTAGACTAACTAGTTAAGGAATACTGTAAATTCTGTAATGGTAAATAGTTGTTTGAATAATTAAATTACTAGTATGCCGAAGTACGAATTATTAAGGATACTACACTGGGGACCATTAATTACTCTCTGTGAGTATAATATCATTAACAGCCACTGAGGCTGACTGAGCCACACTGAATCTGAATTCTGTAAGTTTTAGTCATTTTATTTTAAATTGGTGTCAGACAGTCAGAGCAGAGTGCAGACCTCTGATACCAAACATGGACAGAAGCCCTCCATGAAATGGACAAAATTACTTGTAAATTTGACCAAGTTTACTTGTTCTTATGGCCTTCTCTTAATTTCTTGAAAAAATATAAGAAAAATTGGATGTTTATATCTACTCTTATCCAATATTTTAAAAGGTTTTTGTTGCTTTATTTCCAGCTAATATTCCTAATTGCTATCCTGTCAATTCTGCTCAGAAATTATTTGGAAATTTCTCTACTAAATTTTGTAGTATCAGCACAGTAGTCATTGTCAACTGTCAAGTTGTGATGAACCAACATTAACTGATTTTTTTTTTGGAAATATTTGTAATAATAAAAGTAGGAAATTTGACAGAAGTCAAAAGCTATTGGTGAATCAGACAAAAATACAATCAATCTGGCCAATTTCACCTGTTCCTATGTCACTTTTTAAATTTCCTTGAAGGAAAATAAGAAGAACTGCTGATTTTAATCTGCAATTTTTGAAAATCACATGTGAAACTATGTCTATGAGGATAATTTTTACTTGCATTTTTAGAAAACTTCTGCTGAATATTCCAAAATCCAAATTGGGTTGATACTTGACTGTGATGACTGATGACATTGGTCCAATTTAGAATGTTCCAATCCAATCTGGAATGTTGAATATAATTTTAAAAATTATAGGTGAAAACTACTGTTTCAAAGGCAATTTAAAAAAATTGTAGGCAAAAATTTAGTTTTTTATTCTCAATGAAATAAATTAGTCAAGGTTCCTAAAAACAAATGAAAGCAATTACATACTTGTATGTTTTTGTCCTATTAATGTATGGCTTCTGCCCAATTTTCTAGAATGGATACAACTACAAATCTGTAATGTTAAGCATAACCATTTATAAATTACCTATAAATGTTATTCTTGTGTATGTAACTTTCAAGAATCATCAGCAAAAATGTGGTAATTTTCTAAACATTTCCCAAGAAAGTCAAGCAAAGGCCATAAGAATTGGTAAAATAGTCCACGCAGAAATGGCGTTTGTTTTTTTGTCACATTTGCAAGTGGCTTCTATCCAATTTTCTGATTCGGACTTTAACTCAACAAGAAAGTCAATTCAATTTTAGAAAATAGTTCTAATGGGCATGAAATATATTGACCTCCCAGCTGCAACTAAGGCTTACTTGCCATTTTCACAGCCCTGAAATTTCCACTAAATTACCTCCACTGTAACTTATAACAAAAGTGCTCAATCTGGCCATGAAAAACCAAATTTAGAAATAGCTTTCATTAGAGCTGCAAGATTTCACAAATATGTAGAAAAATGCAGTACTAGCACTATACTATACAGAGTTTGACAATTTTGTTCTCAAGATCAGATTTTTATTTTAAACTCGAAATTTTTCCATTATTAGTGAGGATTTGATGCCAGCATAGTGGAAAACAAGATTTTTTTGTCATCTTAACTATTGAGTTCCATAAGTGGGCTAGTAGGTATCATCAACACCAGCATTAAAATAGGTACATATTATATAGAATAAAGTGTAGAAAGGAAGTCTGGAAATTAGAATAAACTAGATTCTATACAATCTCTGTTGCTACAATGCTTGCTAGAATCAGCTAAACCTTCAAGAATTCTTTCCAAGAATATATGTTATGAGGCAGTCAAAGACAAATGTGTTGCTAAAGATTTTCTGTAGACATAGATTTTGATGACAATGATCTTGAGTTCATCGTCATGAGCATTTTCCTTTGCATTGATCGGGTGTTCATTATCATCTCATTGCTTTCAGGCATAATTGTGAGCATCTGACTTTGCAAAGTTCGTTATCATCTCACATGTTCCAGGTATCCTAATGATCATCTTATTTTGCAAAGTTCATCATCACATCACATGTTCCAGGTATCATAATGATCATCTTGCTTTACAAAGTTCATTATCATCTCACATGTTCCAGGTATCATCATGATCATCTTACTTTGCAAAGTTCATCATCACATCACATGTTCCAGGTATCATTGGAAGTATCTCCCTGTGCACCGTGTCCTGCCTCGGGCAATGGCACAACCATCGGGACGCTTTCCTCAACCTGGCCAGGACCGCCACGCAACTTGATGGTAGAGGCCAGCTGCATGATCATCGTAATTTAGACTATTCTCTATTTTGAAATATTGTTTTTTGTTAATATGCCTCATTTCTCTCTTTCATTCTAGTTGTTTACATGGATTTTTACAAATATCTAACATGTAGGATCAGTTTACATCATTAATGTTTCAATACAGTTAACATCATGAATGTTACAATACAGTTTTCATCATGAATTTTTCAGTACAGTTTACATCATGAATGTTTCAATACAGTTTACATCATGAATGTTAAACAGTTTACATCATGGATGTTTCAGTACAGTTTAAATAATGAATGTCTTAATATGTCTCATTTCTCTCTTTCATAGTAGTTGTTTATATGGATTTTTACAAATATCTAACGTGTAGGATCTGTTAAAGTTCTAATTTATAGGGAAAAAACTACTAATTGGCAAAACTGAAAGAGTAAATATGTAGATTTATAATTGTTATTTATGTTCCAGTTTGCTTTTTTGCAGTATGTTGAAGATCCACTGCCCTTGTCAAAAAATAAATACAAAAATATCCTTTAGTAAATTCTTCAATATATGCCTTATGAGCCTTTCAAATGTTGCAAATCTTTCATTAGTGCAAGGCCCCCTGTAAATAATTATTGCCTTTTCAGTATGGTCTCCAAGCCATCTTTGTAATAATCTATTACTATATAATTATCTATTACTAGGTATATCACCAAACAGGTACATATAAATGTGATTTATGTCTTATTGTAAGAACCATGGAAGCAGAGACCCATGCAGAGAGAATATCTTCTATCAATGTAGTGATATCTGCCTGAACCATGAAATGATATTACATCAATAATTTTTTTATAATTTGACATGAGTTATTATATGGCATATTGAATGTTTTAATTTGTAGTCTTACATGTAACATCAGTAATGCCGCTAGATGTAGACTCATGTTACACCCTGAATGTTTTTAGATGAACTGATACAAATTTACATCATGAGTGTTTCAGTACAGTTTATATCATGAATGTTTCAATACAGTTTACATCATGAATGTTTTAACACAGTTTACATCATGAATGTTTTAACACAGTTTACATCATGAATTAAATGTCTATAACAAGGAAATAAAAACATTTTAACTCCAACAGAGCGGAGTGAGCCAGACCGGACCGTGTGGAGCCTTGTGTCCCCGTACGTTCTGACGGTCTTCTTGTTGCTGTCCTCGGCCACGCTGTACTTCTACCTGCGGGCCATGTGGGGGGGCCCTGGGGCCGTGCCTGCTAACTGGGCCCCGGTAGGTTATGCTCCAAGGAGGGGGGCTTGGGGCCGCGCCTGCTAACTGGGCCCCGGTAGGTTATGCTCCAAGGAGGGGTCCCTGGGGCCGTGCCTGCTAACTGGGCCCCGGTAGGTTATGCTCCAAGGAGGGGGGCCCTGGGGCCGTGCCTGCTAACTGGGCCCCGGTAGGTTATGCTCCAAGGAGGGGGGCCCTTGCACTGGGCCCTATTTGATTATGCTTATGTGGCCCATTTGGAGTCTCATGATACATTTATTGCAAACTTTACTATACATCTTTCATTAGAATTAATTTCGTCTGAAGTATAAAAGTAGTTGTCTGAAGAAATAATTAAAACAACTGAAATAGAAATAGCAAAGAGACAAGTTGAATGAGATTCAACAAGTTAAATTGATTAGAAGTGTTATCAACATAATGTTATTGCAAATAATGTTTGTCAGATTCCAGAAGCCATTTTGGACAACATTGCGTACTCATGAAACTTATACATTTTTTATACAACATTGCTAAAGCCAAGCTTATTGAAACTTGATTTTCTGAGCTTCAATTTATTCGGCCTCGTGTTAGTCGTGACTCCTTTTAACTGCGAAGTGTTGAGTAACTGTCAAGTTCCACAGTTATTTTACACTAGCCCAGTTGTCATGATAACTGTGCAGTAACTGTCAAAGATACTGCGCATGAGCTGAATTACATCAATTGGCAGTATATGTGCAGTATTTGTACAGTATCAGTGTACTGGGCAGAGAGACCTACAAGACACGCAGTATATGTGCAGTATATGTACAGTATCAGTGTACTGTGCAGAGTGACCTACAGGACACGCAGTATATGTGCAGTATATGTGCAGCTGTCTCTTATACACATCTAACTAACTGACTAGGTACCCGACTAACTGACTACCCGACTAACTGACTACCCGACTAACTGACTACCCGACTAACTGACTACCCGACTAACTGACTACCTGACTAACTGACTACCTGACTAACTGACTACCCGTTCACAGCCGCTCAGACCTGACCATGTACTACATCGCTACCGCTGAAGTTAAGGTCCGACATCAATGTTACTGAGGCGGCTGCTCCAGACGTGGCTTTTAGTAAGCACATGAGATCAATGAAATGAACGCCCTTGCCCCCAGTTCTAACCCCCCTCACCCCCAGTACTTAACCCCCACCCCTCGCAGGTGGAGCAGCTGGAGCAAAAGTCCTCCAAGCGGGCGCGGGCTGTGCAGTGTGCGGTGGTGCGGGGCTACGGGGGGGCGTGGGTCCCCGTGACCCACGGGCTGTGTGTCCCCCTCCACCCCCCCTGCACCGACGACCCCCGCATACCACTCAGCGTGGGGGACACGGTCACCGTGACTCGCTGGAAGAAGTGGGTCAAGGGGGGAGAAGTGGGTCAAGGGGGGAGAAGTGGGTCAAGGGGGAGAAGTGGATCAAGGGGGGAGAAGTGGTCAGTATATGTACAGTATGTACAGTATCAGTGTACTGTGCAGAGTGACCTACAGGACACGCAGTATCTGCAGCACTGCAGCCTCTGCAGCGCCTACAAGCCTCCCAGAGCTCACCACTGCAGACAGTGTACGTTTATTATACATTATTATTTATTATATTATTATTATTATTATCTTAATTATATATTATATAATACTGTTAGATTATTGTATGCACTTTTATTGAATACAAGTAACATACACTGCAGATAGAGTATGTTTATTATTCATTATTATTATTAATTATATTCTATTCTGTGTATAATATTATTCTATATTGCAGTAACTATTGTTGTAATAGTTTGTTATTAGTATTAATACAATTTTTTATGTTAATGAAGTGTTATGTGTAATATTTTATGCTGGGTTATTTTATTACATAAAATATTTATTTGATTTATTATATGAAATAATGAATGTTGTTAATTTACCATTGATAAAAAATCAGAATTTTTTTGTATGGTTTAATTAATATTTAGCTGTGTATTATGACCATTAACTCAAAAGTCAACTAATTAATATCAATTATATTTAAGTGATCATTAGTAATTATGTTCATGTTCATCGCTTCATTGTATTTTGTCCACCAAAATGTCCGTCAATCGTCATGTCCGTCTGTCCGTCTGTCTGTCCGTCTGTCTGTCCATGTCTGTCTGTCTGTTAAATGTATTTTAACCATTATAATGTCTGCCAAAATGTCCACCACTAAACTGTATTTTGTCCACCAAAATGTCCGTCAATCTTCATGTCCGTCCGTCTGTCCGTTAAATGTATTTTAACCATTAAAATATCTGCCAAAATGTCCGCCACTAAACTGTTTTATCCGCAAAAATGTCCGCCAAAATGTCCATCCCTTGTACCAATAATTGTGTCCACCAGGTGGCCGCTGCATCCCTAAGATGGACCACCACTGTCCATGGATCAACAACTGTGTTGGCCATCAGAACCACGCGCACTTTGTCCTCTTCCTCCTGTCCGCCGTAGTCGGCTGCGCGGTGGCCACTTTTGTGCTGGCCCCGTCCGTCTACTGGGGCCTCTACAGGCGATGGTCAGTGTCTACTGGGCCTCCTGCGGGGCCTCTACAGGCGATGGTCAGTGTCCACCTGGCCCCGTCCGTCTACTGGGGCCTCTACAGGCGATGGTCAGTGTCCACTGGGCCTCTACAGGCGATGGTCAGTGTCCATCGGGCATCTTGTGGGGCCTCTACAATCGATGGTCAGTGTCCACCGGGCCATCGTTGTCCTGTGAGGCCTCTACTGGCGATGGTCAGTGTCCACCGGGCCATCGTTGTCCCTGTGAGGCCTCTACAGGCGATGGTCAGTGTCCACCGGGCCATTGTTGTCCCTGTGGGGCCTCTACAGGCGATGGTCAGTGTCCACCGGGCCACCATTGTCCTGTGGGGACTCTACAGGCGATGGTTAGTGTCCATCGGGCCATTGCTGTCCCTGTGGGGCCTCTACAGGCGATGGTCAGTGTCCACCGGGCCATCTTTGTCCCTGTGGGGCCTCTACAGGCGATGGTCAGTGTCCACCGGGCCATCGTTGTCTTCTGGGGCCTCTACAGGCGATGGTCAGTGTCCACTGGGCCATCGTTGTCTTCTGGGGCCTCTACAGGCGATGGTCAGTGTCTACTGGGCCATTGTTGTCCTGTGGGGCCTCTACAGGCGATGTTCAGTGTCCACTGGGCCTCCTGCGGGCCTCTACAGGCGATGGTCAGTGTCCACTGGGCCATCGTTGTCCCTGTGGGGCCTCCTCAACGTGTTGGTGCTGTGCAGGTACCTGCTGTATGGCCCAGGCCACGCGCCCGTCGTGCTGCTGTCCCTGTGGGGCCCTCAACGTGTTGGTGCTGTGCAGGTACCTGCTGTATGGCCCAGGCCACGCGCCCGTCGTGCTGCTCTCCCTGTGGGGCCTCCTCATCAACATGTTCGTGCTGGGCCTCGCCATTGGCGTCGTGCTCGCCGTGGGCCTCCTGCTATACTTCCAGGTCTTGTTATTGTTGTTATCTTACGGATAACTGAATATATACGAATATTGTTATCATGTTACTGATAACAATATACGAATAATGTTATCACTGCGAAGAAACTGCACCAGGTATTGTTATTGTTGTGGTTGTTGTTGTTATTGTTGTTTTTGGTGTTGTTTTTGTTATTAATATTCATATTATTATCTTTACGAATAACTGAATTTATATGAATTATGTTATCTTGTTGTTGATAACAATATACGTATATTTTTATCTATGCAAAAAACCGGCACCAGGTCTTGTTGTTGTTCTTATTATTGTAGCTTATTTCCAGCACTATTATTGTTGCTATTGTAGTCACCATTATTGGTTATAATAACAATTTATTGGTGTGAAATAGCGAGGAAAGTTCTTGCATTCATTGCAAATGTTCTGCTCTGCTTCCAAGTGTTGTTGTTGTTAATTATAAGTGACGTAACACTTCTATGTTATACGACTGATATTTCTTTATTTAATTACAAGTAACGCAACACTTATACGTTATACATTTAATATATTTAATTTAATTAGAAGTAACTTAACACTTATACGTTATACAATTGATATATTTAATATAATTATAAGTAACGCTATACTCGTGCCAGGCGCTTGGCGTGCTTTATAAGTAACGTAACACTTCTACATTATACAATTGATATTTCTTTATTTAATTATAAGTAACGTAACACATTTACGTTATACAATAATGACGCAACACTTTTACGTTGTACAATTAATATATTTAATTAATCATAAATAACTTAACACTTCTGCGTTATACAATTAATATATTTAATATAATGATAATTAACCCTTGACTGTTACCAGGTTCGCGCTGTGGTGCGCAACAGCACCGCCGTCGAGGACTGGATCCTGGAGAAGGCGAACCATCGACGCGCCGACGCCCGCCTCCCGCCCTTCACGTACCCGTACCACCTGGGCACGTGGAGCAACCTGCAGCAGGTACCTGTACCACCTGGGCACGTGGAGCAACCTGCAGCAGGTACCTGTACCACCTGGGCACGTGGAGCAACCTGCAGCAGGTACCCGTACCACCTGGGCACGTGGAGCAACCTGCAGCAGGTACCCGTACCACCTGGGCACGTGGAGCAACCTGCAGCAGGTACCTGTACCACCTGGGCACGTGGAGCAACCTGCAGCAGGTACCTGTACCACCTGGGCACGTGGAGCAACCTGCAGCAGGTACCCGTACCACCTGGGCACGTGGAGCAACCTGCAGCAGGTACCCGTACCACCTGGGCACGTGGAGCAACCTGCAGCAGGTACCTGTACCACCTGGGCACGTGGAGCAANCAGGTGTCAGCCAGTAACCTGCCCCTGTTTACAGGTGTCCCCCAGTAACCTGCCCTTGTTTACAGGTGTCCCCCAGTAACCTGCCCCTGTTTACAGGTGTCCCCCAGTAACCTGCCCCTGTTTACAGGTCTCCCCCAGTAACCTGCCCCTGTTTACAGGTCTCCCCCAGTAACCTGCCCCCTGTTTACAGGTGTTTGCAAACGTGTGGTGCACAGCGCCAGGAGACGGCATCTACTGGCCAGTACGTGAGGGCTGCACACAGTACACGCTTACTGTGAGTATATACTGTGTACTGTCTACACACGTGTTATTACTGCATCTTGTGTAGACTTACTGTGAGTGTCTACTGTGTACTGTCTACACATGTGTTATTACTGCATCTTGTATAGACTTACTGTGAGTATCTACTGTGTACTGTCTACACATGTGTTATTACCGCATCTTGTGTAGACTTACTGTGAGTATATACTGTGTACTGTCTACGCACTTGTTATTACTGCATCTTGTATAGACTTACTGTGAGTGTCTACTGTGTACTGTCTACACACGTGTTATTACTGCATCTTGTATAGACTTACTGTTAATAGTGTATTGTCACCGGGACTTGTATATTTAATATTTTTATGACTTGTATATTTAATATTGTATATGCAATTTGCAATATATAACAATCAGTTCATTAAAATATCAGATCACGTAGATAAAACCTAATTTTATATCAGTAAAGATCAGACTAAAAATAAATATCAGTTTACAATTTCAAACTAGAGTGATATTAGGTTCATGATCGAGAAACAGTTTAATAAATACTAACTGCCTACCCGACTAACTGACTACCCGACTAACTGACTACCCGACTAACTGCCTACCCGACTAACTGACTACCCGACTAACTGACTACCCGACTAACTGACTACCCGACTAACTGNATGTCCGTCAATCGTCATGTCCGTCTGTCCGTCTGTCTGTCCGTCTGTCTGTCCATGTCTGTCTGTCTGTTAAATGTATTTTAACCATTATAATGTCTGCCAAAATGTCCACCACTAAACTGTATTTTGTCCACCAAAATGTCCGTCAATCTTCATGTCCGTCCGTCTGTCCGTTAAATGTATTTTAACCATTAAAATATCTGCCAAAATGTCCGCCACTAAACTGTTTTATCCGCAAAAATGTCCGCCAAAATGTCCATCCCTTGTACCAATAATTGTGTCCACCAGGTGGCCGCTGCATCCCTAAGATGGACCACCACTGTCCATGGATCAACAACTGTGTTGGCCATCAGAACCACGCGCACTTTGTCCTCTTCCTCCTGTCCGCCGTAGTCGGCTGCGCGGTGGCCACTTTTGTGCTGGCCCCGTCCGTCTACTGGGGCCTCTACAGGCGATGGTCAGTGTCTACTGGGCCTCCTGCGGGGCCTCTACAGGCGATGGTCAGTGTCCACCTGGCCCCGTCCGTCTACTGGGGCCTCTACAGGCGATGGTCAGTGTCCACTGGGCCTCTACAGGCGATGGTCAGTGTCCATCGGGCATCTTGTGGGGCCTCTACAATCGATGGTCAGTGTCCACCGGGCCATCGTTGTCCTGTGAGGCCTCTACTGGCGATGGTCAGTGTCCACCGGGCCATCGTTGTCCCTGTGAGGCCTCTACAGGCGATGGTCAGTGTCCACCGGGCCATTGTTGTCCCTGTGGGGCCTCTACAGGCGATGGTCAGTGTCCACCGGGCCACCATTGTCCTGTGGGGACTCTACAGGCGATGGTTAGTGTCCATCGGGCCATTGCTGTCCCTGTGGGGCCTCTACAGGCGATGGTCAGTGTCCACCGGGCCATCTTTGTCCCTGTGGGGCCTCTACAGGCGATGGTCAGTGTCCACCGGGCCATCGTTGTCTTCTGGGGCCTCTACAGGCGATGGTCAGTGTCCACTGGGCCATCGTTGTCTTCTGGGGCCTCTACAGGCGATGGTCAGTGTCTACTGGGCCATTGTTGTCCTGTGGGGCCTCTACAGGCGATGTTCAGTGTCCACTGGGCCTCCTGCGGGCCTCTACAGGCGATGGTCAGTGTCCACTGGGCCATCGTTGTCCCTGTGGGGCCTCCTCAACGTGTTGGTGCTGTGCAGGTACCTGCTGTATGGCCCAGGCCACGCGCCCGTCGTGCTGCTGTCCCTGTGGGGCCTTAAAGGTGCCTGTACACAGGGATAGTACTAGCCGCTAGTTCATCCGGCGCATGAACTGTCCACGCTACTAGCCTCGTGTATAGGGGTTCAGCCGCTTCAGAGGCATGCGCCGGCAAGTGCCCGAGATGCGACCGAGCGGGACAACGATGTGTTGATATCTTGGCTGGAGAACAGCGTTGCCAGATGGTATATTTCTATACCAGATTTCACAAATCTGGTATTTTCAGAAGGTGTCTGGTATGAACATTTTAGATCTGGTATATTTGCCTAAATCTGGTATTTTTCTGGTATTTTCTGACTTACTGCAAATTTACTGCATTAAGTTCCACCTCTGAAGTTTGAATTTCCACCAACAGTCCAACGTAGGCGTGGATTATATAGATTACCATCAGAGTGGCGCGACTAGAGGTTTCCCGACATTTTTGGAACCTCGAGTTTACCGCTTTGATAAAATAACCCCAATTTAATTGTTAACATTTAACAGAAGTGCTTAGTGCAATATGAGCATGAGAGTGATGATCCTCGATTGATTACTGATCAGTGATTAACTGATGATATGGCCTAGGACGAGTGAGGATGTCGAACCGATCTCTGCGACGCAAGCTCCACCATTTTTGTTTGGTGGTTTCGAATTCTAGTGTGCCACTTGAATTCTGGGGTGCCATTCAACATTTCACTGATCTTGATAATTATCATCCATTCAGGGAACTGGCTGCCTACTGCATCACTTGTCTACTTTGACCTGTCTCCAAAGCATTCGTGGTGCAAGTGTTTTCACAAGTCACCTATGTGAAAAACAAGCAACGGAAAATAAAATTTCAACTACGGTACTGGAGTCCCTTATTCGGACCAAAAGCTATCTGCTCAACCGCAACAAGTGATCACACCCGAAATGTTAGATTAATGCAATATGCAAGCATGTACGAAAATAAGCAAAGGGAAGATGACCTGATTCCGTGGCTTGCTCATGTTGAGCGAAGAGGAAAAAGTGCCACAATGACACTGATAGAAAAAGGAAAAAGTGTCAATGTAATCAAACACAGGAAAAAAAGTGTCAAAATGTTCCAAACAGAGGGAAAAAAATATAACGTGTTCAATTTAGCTAATTATCGTCAAGCCAGATAACTGCTGCTGCACAGTACATAAGATAATTTTTTTCTAACCAACGTTTCTGACGAATAGTTTTATTAAATTTGGAGGTATTAGTCTGTTTTTGAACGATAGAATTTCTGGTATATTTCTGGTATTTTGAGCTAGGCAATCTGGTATTCTCGCAAAGAAAAACCTGGCAACACTGCTGGAGAAATGGCTAGTAGCGCTGAAGCAGCCATGGTGAGAGCATCTGTGCCGCTCTTGCGAAGTATCTTGGATCAAGTGAATCATGGCTTGCTTGAACGGTAATGTTTCTAAGAAGAAACAAACTAAGTGGATTCCAGACGATATTCAATTATTTTTGAAATATTCCAAAGATATGAATTAGAGTATAATGTTTTCCATGATGGTTACTCCAACAAAAGGAAGGGAGAAACGAGTATTTTGAAACGGAAAGAAGACCTTATTAGTCAGGGTTTAGTTGTTCCCGACGCTGCATTTTCAAGGGCTAGAATAAATAGTATAAAAACGACGTACAGAATCGAGTTGTTGAAGGTGATCCACTAACCATCTTCGCAGACCTCACTCGACGGCTTCTAATGAGGCACTGGCGGGCGCGAAAGAGAAGATAGCTTCACCTTCTACTCTCCACGTGTGTACAGGCTTACTTGCCGGATAGTCACCAAGCGACCGTCACTAGCCAGATTTACTAGCCGTCTGCACTATCCCCGTGTACAAGCACCTTAAGCATACTGCAAGATCCACAAAGAAATGGTTCGCTGATAGAAATGTACACGTTATGGAATGGCCAAGCCAGTCGCCGGACTTGAATCCGATTGAAAATTTGTGGCGGTATTTGAAGATTCAAATTAAGAAAAGGTCCCCAACAAACATTGAGAATCTTAAGGTGTTGTGCCAAGAAGAATGGTATAAAATACCAGTCAGCATCTGCAAATCATTGGTCGAGACGTATAGAAATAGACTGGTATCTGTTGAGCTGAATAAAGGGTATTCAACCAAGTATTAAATTAAAATAATGCGGATTTATTGTTTTGTACGAATACTTTTTTCACCCCGAAAAGTGAACATGTTGCATTGTTTTTTTGTTGCATTGAGATTTAATTTCTTTTGATTGTATTTTTGAATACTATGCGTCTCTATACATAATTTAAATCACTTTTCCTGTTAAGTTTGTGTACTTACATACATTAAAATACGATTTTTCAAGTGTACGAATATTTATTTCCCCCCACTGTATATCCCAAGGTTCAAGCATTTCAATTCCGTTCACTTATTTGTGTTGCCTAAAAAAGCGTTTTTTCGTTTTAATTGAAAACGAAGTGCTGTAAAAAATCTGTAATAATTCCTATCGCAGCGTACTAATGAATAAAACATTTTAAATAATTAAGCTGAAATAGTTTCATGGGATGCAAACTGTATGAAAAAACCTTTGTTCAATCTACGTTTAAAACCTCGTTTAAACACACGGCTGCCTGACGTAGACTCACGTCACGTATTGGTATTGCTGCGTGAGTTCCAATAACGCACTCGCTGCTTGTGGTTGGTTGAGCGGAGTATTCCAGTGAAAAACTCACGTGGTTTGCTTCTTTTTTGATAATTTAATCAAGTTTATTCGCTTCTATTAATATAATTTACCGAACTTTACTCTGGTGCAGTTTTCTTGCCTATACGCTAATGATCGATGAACAAAACTTGTTAAATATCAGCAATCATGCAGCAGTGATGATGCAATTTTTGTTTTGGTTGTTTAATATCTACCAATTCAACTTCTCAAGACGAGAGTGGGAGCGATTGTTCTGCACTCAGTTCCTAAATTTTAGACCAACAGAAGAGAGCATGTTTCATTCTTTTGTTTGTTGGTGGTTTATTCAACTATGTTTTTACTTATGTAAGAATAAGGAAGAAATAATAACGGCAACAGTAACGATTTGTTTGTAGCCCTATCGTATTTAATACTTTTTAGGTAGACTGTTACAAACATTGTTTCAGTAATTTCTGCGTGGAAAATTCATTATATATTACTGAAAATTTGAGAAACATTAGTTTATCATGTTAGTTTTTGTTGTCGTACGCGACTTTATTCTCCGTGCGCAATGCCTCTGGCTAGAAAACGCAGTAAACTGTAAACGCACATGGCACATCGAAAACTGGTAGTGGCACTGAAACGTTCGTTGACATCGGCATTCGGCACATCGCAGTGAATATTTAAATCCAGAAGAAGCTCTCGCGGTCTACATTTTTCGATAAGTTAATCAATGTTTGGTCGCTTCGATTAATTTGATTCACTGAACTTTACTCTCGGTGCAGTTTCTGAGAGTTTGTTTCGTTTGTTGGTGGTTTTCTCAACTTTGCATTTAGTATACTACTATGGCAACTATGCCTAAGGCATGGAAGAATAACTAAGGATTATCAACGGCA